CATTGCCCTTGGCCCAGAATTGCCTCGCTCTGGCACAGGGTCTGATCAATAATATCTGTTTTGTCAATAAGGGTGTCACAGTATCATTTAAAGTTTTTAATGTACATTTTTGGAGCAATTATCAACAAAATTAGTTAATGTATGTATGTAATGTAATGTATGAAATGTATTGCACCTCAAAAGAATTATTTCTTCATTTTTTAATATAATACATAAAAATCAATGTTTGGATTTTATGCGCTGTTCATCCGATTGCGATAAAACTTTGTCAACTTTTGCTTGCAAAGAACATTATAGTACAATGTGAATGTACCTATGTCTGTCGCGCAAAGACGTACATTGATGACTTTATGAGTTTACGTGACTCAAGCGCCCCTGAACAAATTTACTATGCAACCCACCACACCTTCAAGTATTAAGCGCGTCTTCGCTGCATATTCTGCCCCTGCGTTTAATATTATTATTATTATTATTATTATTATTATTATTATTATTATTATTATTATTATTATTATTATTATTATTATTATTATTATGTATTATTATTATTATTATTAATTATTATTATTATTATTATTATTATTATTATTATTATTATTATTATATTATTATTATTATTATTATTATTTATTATTATTATTATTATTATTATTATTTATTATTATTATTATTATTATTATTATTATTATTATTATTATTATTATTATTATTATTATTATTATTATTATTATTATTATTATTATTATTATTATTTATTATTATTATTATTATTATTATTATTATTATTATTATTATTATTATTATTATTATTAATTATTATTATTATTATTATTTTATCTTACATTATCCACAGTATCTACTGGTCGGTATGTCAACCACACACAGGTATGATGACCAGTGTGTGGTTGCTTTACTGAAGGTTCAGATGGCTTCTGACAATACGCATGTATTCAAAATTACTGTCTTTTGCATATTATATACATTCCTGGTATCCAAGTGAAGACACTCCAGTGCCCGAAGTGTCATTTTCGGATCACTCCCGTAGCTGATATTATTATAGGCACAGTCGTCACTTTACTGAAGTTCCACTGAGTTGCGACTTCATAGGCGAGATTGGTATACTTCTGGATCTTCTCTTGATATTTTCCCGATATGTTGTGGGTATTGGGTATTGATATATCGATAAGGAAAACCTGCTGTTGGTTTCTATCAATGTACGTTATATCTGGTCTATTGCCGCCGACATGTCTGTCAGTGATAATGGAACGATCCCAGTAGAGTGTGTGCTCACTACTTTCAAGCACATTCTGAGGCACATATTTATAATACGGCAAGGAAGTGGCGAGTAAGCCCGTTCTCAACGCCAATAATTGTGTACCTGCTTCGCCACTTCATCATGCCTCTTTTTGTATTCCACCTGTGCGTGCTGCTACATCCACTTGTTACGTGTGATAGTTTTCGCTTGCAGCCTCACATCTTCTTACACGAGTCGGAATGAATGGTGAATCTCTCGAATGTGTTTTCGTAGTTTCAATGTTGTATCACTTGGTCCTGGGATACGCTATCATGAAGGCTTCTGTCTCCGGAAAGAGATCCCCGTGCTGGAGCCATGCGTGCGACGCAGAGATGTCGACTTCTGTTTACTCAGCTCGTGAGGGTACCTTCCATGCAGTGCCTTTGCTTTCCATAAGGTTATCTTCTCTTCCGTTTCAATGATTGGTTGAACAGGCGGATCAAGCTTTTTCAAGTTCAGAGGACTATAGTTATTACTCAACTGCGCTCACTGCTTGCTGAACTCTCCCACAAGTTCAAGAAGTATTCTGAGTGAAGCAATTTGAGAGCTGTGTAGATTTATGAGATCTACAATACCTCGCCCCTTGCGACTTGGAAGGGTAAACGCTCAGTACTTGAATGGGATGATGTTTCGGTGTTGAGTCATAGCGGTTCGAATTGTTCTCTGGAGGTTGTCGAGGTCGGTATTGCTCCATTTAATAACGCCAAAGGAGTATGTCAGCACTGAATAACAAATGAATTGATGGCCTGCACAAGGTTTCTAGCAGAGAGTTGAGTTTTTTAAGAGCCCATGCAATCGTTTACACACTTCATTTGTTAGTATATTCTTAGTAACAGTGTGTTAATTCGGAGTGACTGTTGGAAACCCAAGTATTTGTAAGTTTCATGGGGTTCCATGAAGGTAATCTTTGGTTCATTATCACTTTCCAAATTTATAACTTGCATATGACCGCGAATGATATTCACTCTCCTACACTTATCCAAACCGAATTTCATCTTAATGTCGTCAGTGAACTTCTCCGTCACGTTTATTAGTTGCCGCATATGACTCTCAGTGTCTGCATAGAGCTTCAGGTCATCCATGTAAAGGAGATGTGAGACACGAAGAAAGTTGGAGTTCCCCTTTTTAAGAGCGATCCATAATTAGATGAATTAAAGTAGAGTAGAGAGGGGATTCAAGGCTAAACAGAACAATAAAGGGCTTAAAGAGTCACCCTGGAAAATCCCTCGGCGGATGTGTATAGTCTGTGTGGACGGATTGTTTTCCATTAGAGAGATACAGTTTTGTATTCCATCGATCATCCGCAGTTTCAGGAAGTTTTGGATAAACGGGTGGATTTGTATACATCCAAACATTGAAGGGCCAAGAATGGGGCACGGTGTCGAATGCTTTAGCGTAATCTATGTAGCATGCGTACACGTTTCTTTGTTTTTCAAGCACTTGCCCCATAATTACAGAGTCTATAATGAGTTGCTCCTTGCATCCCTGAGATCCAGGTCTACATCCTTTCTGTTCATTGCTAAGATGTTCTGTTCCTCATGGTGTGTCATCATCATTTGCGAAACACAAGATGTTATGAGTTTGTAAAAAGTTTGAAGGCAGGTATAGGCCTGTACTTCGAGGGGTCTTTAGTGTCACCCTCCTTTGGTAACAAAAATGTTCTACCTTCAGTGAGGAAGCGAGGTAGATTTTCTGGATTGTGAAGAAAATATTGAATTATATTAGCTATATGATGGTGAGTGCTGCTAAATTTTTTGAGCCAATAATTGTGGAGGCCATCACTGCTGGTGCCTTCCAGTTATGTGCTTTGCTCAAAGCTGCTTGGACAATTTCCACGGTGATGATTGGTTCACACATTAGAGGATATCTCGGTGTCTGTCTATTCCATTTCAATCCACGTCATATCTGGGTGTGGGACACAGCAGATGACCAGATAGGCTTCCAAAAGTCCTCTATTTGTGCCTTTGAGGGAAGCTTTGACTCTTCCATATCATTTACAAGCCCTTTGCCCTTTGACATATTCCTGTAGAATGCTTTCTGGTTTCTGTTAAAAAGAGATTCTGTTGCTTCCTCGTAGTGCAATTCCTGTAGCGTCGAAGGCGTTTTGTTAACGCCAAAAGCTTTTGTCGTAGGGTGTCAAGATGTTCTGT